AAAAAATGAGAATCAAGACTTGCCATGTAAAGGTACATGATCCCAACAATGAATGTAACTGTACTGTATCCCTAAATGTACCAATAAACTCAAAAAAAAAAAAAAAAAAACGATTGAAAACTGAAGTAGAAGTGGTTTAGCATATTGGTCATACAAGATCATCTCTTAATGGAAGAAATCCCCCATTCGCCTTTTAGATGGAAATACCCTGTAGTCTCAGTAGAAGCTGGGTGTCCTGACTGCAAACCCAGTGCCAGGGAACAAGGGGAAGGACTAGCTAGGAGGCTGGTTACGAAGGGGCCGAGGCCTAAGGACAGCAGTACTGGGAATGAACAAAAAGGAACAGTCTCAAAGATGGTGTGCAGAAGTCAGTGGGGTCCTGTGACAAACTAGACAGATGCTAAAGGAAAAAAGGGGGACCAATTCAGAGGTGCGCTGGAGGGACTGCCAAAATCTGGGTCCCATGGTGAACTTCACACACCAGGAGAGCACCATTATCTTTCCACGTTATTGGAAAGAAAATTATAGAGAGCTCCTGTATTACATGTTAGCTATTACATTACATATAATATATATTATATTATATATATGTTTCTGAAAGACCCCTATTTCCTACTACTACAAGTTGAAGATCGATTTTGAACCCAGACACTAGCAGAAATCATAGCTAGATAGACAGACAGAGACGGAGACGGAGATACACTGTACAGGAACAGCTGACCAGATAGTAGAGAACTTACTTTTCAATCTCCTGCTCTCTGAAGGCCCATTCTTTCCTCTCCATTGCGTCCATCATCTTCCTCCTCTTCTCAAACTGGGAGCCGTCACTCAGAGGGGGCAGAGTGGCTTCCCAGGCACGCTTTTCCCGGGCTCGTTCTATCATCTCCACCTCAGCCAATCCTGCTGGGAGACCTCGGCCTAGAGGATGAAATGTCACGCCTTAGGGACAAATGGCCAGCCCATGTACCGCCAGTCAGGTCCCATCTGCTTCCCTAACTTTCAAGGGCTGTGACACGACACAGTGACACTACAAGACATCCTTCAGACGCATCTCACACGGGCGAGGTCCGTGCCCTGCGCTGCCTCTTGCTGGTACCTGGCCCTTCAGATGTCACCTGCATGTCAGATACTACAAAGTGTGGGAGGGATATCAGTGAGCTGAATGATCAGACCTTGCAATGTCCCCTACTGGACAAATCTGTATTTTGAAATGCAAAGAATAGCAAACATCCAGGTATGTATCGGGGGAGAGTTTAGGGGATTTATTGGACAAAGGTAAAAAGCAGATTTGTTTTATGGCTGTTGTTTTTTGGTACTGGGGATCAAACTCAGGCCTTTGCATTTGCGAGGCAGGCAGTGGCACCACTGAGCCAAACCCCCAGCCCAGATTTAAATAAAAGAAAATGAAGGAATAGTCATTGTCTGAGAACTGATCATACTGCAATTTGTCCCCCACAATGAAGGCTCAATTTAGGGCTTCTCTCCCTTCCAAGTGTGAGTTCAAGGACATCATGGCCCCCAAGTCAGGCAGGCGGTTGGGCCACTGGCTCTGTCTCCTGACCTGCTTATAGGTGCTGCCTGAGACGTGACTCTTCTTACAGCTCACTCGGAGGGCCACACCTCTGAACACGGCCTTGACGTACTGTCCCATCCCCTGGACCAAGGGTCAGTAAAGCAAATGGGGCCAGAACAAACCTCCCATTTGATCACTGAGCCGCAACACAACAATCTTTATTTTCATTTTAAAAGAATTATATGGGAAAGTACAAATAAGCTATATTTCTACTACATAATAATAAGCTACTTCTAAAATTTTTTGAATTTTAATCTTTTAAAATTCAAATCTTTTGCTATATTTATACTTAAAAAAAATAATATATGGATTAACTATCTTGCTTTTAAAATAGGAACATCAGAAAAAAAAGCTAAAGTTCTACTACCCTCTCTTTCTGACCACCATCCCAGAAACAATCACAATGGGCATCTAATGGGAATACTATCAATTCATACATATGTACATATATAGTATATATATGCAAAATCATGTATATACATATTCACGTAAATGTATATAATTTTGTGAATTTGGGGTTTTTTAGTAACTAAAAAATTAAAAGTATGAAAATAAAATCACAAATACTCAGATTTAACAATTGCAGACATATTTTGTCATTTACACTTTACGTTTTTTTTAATTGAGTTTATTGGTACATTTTAGGTATACAGTGCAGTTACATTCATCATTGGGATCTAGTACCTTTACATGACAGGTCTTGGTTCTCATTTTTTCCCCTTGTCCCTGCCCTTCCTTCTACACTTTACCTTTTTTAACACAAGAAATTAAAACATTGAAAAGAAAGTTTAAATCCCGGTGTGATAGTGCACTCAGGAGGCTGAGGCAGGAGGATCTCCTCAAGTTCAAGTTCAGCCTGGGCTACATAGTGAAGCCAGACAACTACAGAGTAAGATCGTTTCTCAAAAAAAAAAAAATGAATTAATTAAAAAAAAGAAAGTTTATGTTCCTTTGAACCATACTGAAACCTACTGCCTTCTTCCCTCTCCCAAACTAAAACATAAAAAAGGAATTTGGGGCTCTTCCATTCAGTCTTAACATGTTATATACAGATTTATGTATTCACAATTTATAATAATAAAACATGCATTTCTTAAGCACTAAAAATATGTCAAGCACTCCTCTAATTTATGTAAACCTTCAACATATTGGTATCACATAAATAAAATTGTTACTATTTTACAAAGTAAGAGACTCAGGGCTAAGAGGTGGAATAAGGCTTGCACAAAATCCCAGCTGGTAAAAGATGGAAATCGGGGTCTGAACATGTCAGCCCAAGCTCTGGTCTAATGCACTGCAGTGAACTCCTCTGATAAAAACAAACATCAACTAGAAACCAGACTCAGTTCAGATGTGGGCCATAAATGAACTGTATAAAACAAAAAACAATATTATTTTTACTTCTATTTGTAAACACAGCATTGTACTATATGCGTCCTTCTGAAAGTTGCTCCGTTTTGGGGAGGGGACCGAACTGATTCGGAGAGCCCGGGCTCTGTTACATTGTCAGCTGTCTTCTCAGGTGGTCAATACTGATTTTTTGAGTACAGAGAATGTTGCAACAAACAGCCCTGGACTGGTCTGGTGGTGCCCATATGTGAGTTTCTCTAGGATTCTTAGTTGAGTAAGTGCTAGAGTCTGGCGGCTAGAGCACAAAATATGATCACTGTTAATTCTGGATTCTGCCAAATTTACGCTCAGGAAGTGTATTTTCACTCGGGCCTTCTGCGAGCACCCAATGTTTCCTCCCGGTCCGTGCTTCCTCACTCCCTCCCACGTTGCTTCTGCCTCATCTCAACTGCATTTGAAGTCCTTACAGATATTTAATACCTCATAAATTACGTAGCTTTCACTGAAGATGGAGTTTGTGGGAGTTTCGTTGTCTTTGTGATTTTGGTATAATTTGGGGAAAGAAGAAGAAAAATTTACACAGGAATAGAAACACTGGAAGTAGGAATTCCGATGACTTCCTTGAAGGCATTATTTATTTGGGGAAGAAATCATATCTATTCAAGCACAAGTTTTCCCATTCACAAACACAGTGTATTTCTGTTTTAATCAAATCTTTATGTTCTTAAAGAACAATAATCTTCTTTATAAATGCCTTGCATATGTGTTTATTGATTCCCTAGGTACTTTAATATTTATCAAAAACAAGAATGTGATTTTTTCCAATAATTTTGCTAATTAGATATTACTCATACAGGAAAATTACTGACTTAGCTGTGTTAACTTCATAAACAGCTACCTTGTGGAACTCTCTTCGAAGCTCTGATAATTTATTTCGTTAAGTTTTCTACATGAGCATGTTATCTGTAAATAAAGATTCTACTGCTCCTTTCTAACCTTCATAAATCGTATTTCTCTCTCCCCTTAATGCCCTTACTTGGCGTTTCTCAACACTTGTGCAGTTGCCAGATGGGGAAGACCGTGTTTACTTTAAGGCCAGCCCCACACAGCCACACCCTGCGGCCCATCCGCGTGACTGCCACATGCCAGAGACACCTACCTCCTCAAACGCATACTTCCTACTCTCCTAGATGAAGAGGGATCACAGCTCAGCATGAATGAGGGCGAGGATCTGCTCTCTACTTTCAAACAAGACGAGTGAGTAGTGGATCCTGTCTTTCTGTTCTTTAAGGCTAAGGCTTTAGAGTTCCACCTGGGGGTTTCGGTTCACTGAAGGTCATTGTAGATATTGTGTATCATGTTTCTTAAATTTCTTTCTGCTCCTTCTTTATTTCAGGTTTGTATCATGAATGGATATTGAATATCATCAAATATATTTTCTGTATCTATGAAGCATTTTTGCTATATTTTCTGAAAAAGTGGTAAACTACAGGACCATGGATTTAGTTCAGTGGTTCTGCCATCTGCCTCAAAAGCACAAGGAGCCGAGTTCGAGTCCCCGATACCAGAAAAAAAAGGTAAATTTAATTAACCCACTTGGTTATGATATCATCCTTTCAAAATATAGCAGAATTTGATAGCTGGTTTCTTATTTAAAATTATTGCATATTTCTTCACGTGTAAGACTGTCCTACAAGTTTCCTTTTTAGTACTGCCCTTATATAGTTTTCAAATAAAATCCATACTAGCTGCATAAAATGAATAAATTAACCTTTTCTTCTCACTTAGCTGAAAGAATTTGCAAAAAATGGAGTTTACATGTTTCTTGAAGGAGTGGTAAGCTTATTTTTAAACCTACTTAGGCCTAGTTGGTACTCTCAAAAATATTTTCTTTTTACCAAATAATCTTTATAGTTACTCTTCTATTCTTGAAACCAATTTCATCACTATATTTTCTTTAAAAATGGTGTAATTTATCTAAGTTTTTCAATGTAGGGCAAAAGATATTCCTAGCATTTTCTTCAATTTTTTACACTGTTTACTCTGTGGTTATAGCTCTCTTTCCAACCTAATAGTCTTTATTTGCATCTTCCTTTTCTTGACCCTGCCTTTCTACAAAAGGCTCGATATATTATAAATCTTTATTCAAAAATGAACTTTACAGTCCTAATGACTCATTTCTTTTGTTTTTTAAAGTTTTATATTATTAATCTCTGATTTTAACATTTTTTTTCACTTAAAAAGTGAGGATTAAAAGTTAAAAATGTAAAGCACTTGCCAGTTCTTAGCAGATAGCAAACTCCATTTTTGTGCTTACTGTCATCTTTTTTCACTGTCGTTATTTCTCACTTACCTTTATGTAAACATTTTTGATGCAGGCAGTGTGCAAAGAAAGATACAAAAATGAGGATCCTGCAGAGCCGTCACCCAGATCAAGGAAGAGAACATTAGCAGGGCATCATGATGCCCTTCAGACTCTCCTCCCAGTCTCTGTCTGCCCCAGCAGATCCGTTCTCATGCTTAACAAATTAATTCAGTTCCAATTGGCTTGGTTTTATGCACGTGGAAGTGCAATGTAGGTGCCCTTTTCTATTTGAGCTTCTTTTGTTTAGCACCATATTTGTAAGATTCACCTGGTGGTTACATATTGCATTTTCATGACTATATAGTTGTCCACTGTGTAAATCTACTATATATGTACCCTTTATCCAGTCTATGGTTGTTGGACATTTAGGGTATTTTCAGTTTGGCATTATCACACATGGTGCCACCACAAACATTTTTGTACATATCTTTTGGTGAACACACAAGCATTTTGGTTAGTACAATTATGCATTCATTTTTCTTTGGTATTTAGCTAGGAATAAAATTTCTGGGTTGTAGATATAAGTACATTACGTAAGTAAATTATTTAATTTTTATATTATCCGATGATACAGATACTTTTTTTTTTGTTATTTTATTTTTTTTATTTTTTTTTTATTGAGTTTATTGGTACATTTAGGGATACAGTACAGTTACATTCATTGTTGGGATCATGTACCTTTACATGGCAAGTCTTGATTCTCATTTTTTTCCCCTTACCTCTGCCCTCCCTTCATCTCCTCTTCATTCCTTAATAATAGGGTGCTGGTGAAAAAAATGCTAGGTTTGAAATTATCTTCCCACCAGTTCCTTAAAAATTACACTACAAAATAGCAATTTTTTTTCTTTGTGAATAATCTGCACTTTCTCTCTAATGCTTTCATTTTCATGCTTTGTTGCTGTTCCTTTTCTTGGTAGGTTTGAATTTTTTAAAGTTTATCATATTTCATACTCAATGGAATTTTTTCTTTATGAGATCTTATGCCTTTCTTCAGTTTTGGGAAATCATTCGCCATTATCTTTTCTTGCATTGCTTCTCTACCACTCCTTCTACTCTCAAGTTCCAGAGTTTATAATTCTCTTCTCATAACTCTTCATTTATTTTGTTCTACCTCTTTACATTACCCGCTGGAATTCTCCACTTTTGCACGTAACTGTTGACCATTTGTATGTTTCTTTTTGAGAAATGCTGGCTCTGGTTCTTTGCTCATTGTTAATAGGGTTTTATTTGTTACTGAGTAGGTTGAATTCCTTGTGTATTTTGGATATTCGCAATTTATCCAACGTGTGACTTGTAAATATTTTCTCCCAACCTGGGAGTTATCTCTTTTCCCGGTAAACAAGAGTTGCCCGTATGTGCGTCATCTCCAAGAGCTGGGAAACGTGCATGGCTATTAGTACTGACACCGCAAATATTCAGGAAAATCACTGACTCACCCCACGTCAGAGTGGCCAGGGTCAGGAGCTCGGGAAGAGTGTTCTGACATACTACATACTCTGGAGAATACGGATCAGTCTGAACATCAGCGTCCCGATAATCAGTCTGAGTAGCCACGGTAGACTTTGAAGGAATGGGTGGGCACTTAGAAGAAGCAGGAGGAAAAGCATAGGGTTCCATCCTAAAAGGGGAAAAGTAGTTAAAAAGTTGAAACTTGGTGTGACCACTTAAAATATTACATGCTCATGTAGAACAAATCCGGGAGCTTCTTAAAGCCTGTTCCCCCTTTACATGCTGATAGGCGGAGATATGAATCCAGTGTAACCAGGACTGTGCCCCAGATCTCAACAGAATGACCTTATTATTCTCACTTCGGCCAAGGAACTGAGTGGGAATAAATACCATATTCTACTCCCAAAAGGGCCTATGTATCTGTGCTTCTTTAGACAAGGTATAGAGGTTGGAGGGCCCTGGATAGCACTTCTGGCCCTATTCAGAATTATGACATTCCCTGGTTTCTCCTCTACGTTGAGTTGCACATCAAATATTAGTTATGGAATGCAGGCAGAGGAAAGAGGGGAGATGTTTTCTGTGAAGGAAGGAGGCAAGCAAACAGGCTAGCCTGCCTCCTATCTCTGCGTAGATGACTTAACAATTAATACGGAGATAACTCGGTTAACATGTAGGACAATTACCTTGTCCCTCATACAGAAATCAATACCAGGTCATTAAAAAGTATCAACGTAAGAGTTAGACTACAAAAGCACTAATAGAAAGCCTACGTAAGGTTTTCATTTGTATTTTGTTCTGTTTCGGTTTGCGTGGGGTTGGGCTGGGTTAAACTCAGGGCCTTCCTGTTGAGCCATAGTCTCAGCTCTCGCCATGTCTCAAAGTTGCCCAGGCTGGGCTCCAGCTTGTGATCCTCCAGCCTCAACCCATCAGAGTGCTGGGATTACACAGTGTGCCGGCACACCTGGCTTTAAGTGTTTACATCGTCCCCTAGTACAGGCCTTTTAAAGTGTGGCTTGAAAGCTAGAAACTAGAAGAAATGATCAACAGAAGGTAAGTCTACCTCAAAATATCACAAACCATTTAAAAAAGTGGATGACAAACTTGGAAATAGACTTTTGCAATGAATATGATAATAAAATAGCCTTTCTATAGTAAAAAATACCTTTGTAAATCAATAAGAAAACTTACTACTACACAAAAAGTGGATAGAGGACAATCAAAAAGCAAAAGGTAAAAATTCTAGCAAACATACAAAAAGATGGTGAATATAACTCATAATCAAAGAAAATTTAAACAGAAAGATATTATTTTACACTTTCATTTAAACGATGGAAAGCATTGATGAAGTTGTGAGAAATCAGGCATTATCACTATTGATGGAAATACAACCAGCTTAATAGATATAAAACCTTTAAATACCATTAGCCCTTGCATTATACTCCTGAGAATTTCCTCTAGGAAATGATTGGACAGTGTGAAATATCACATATGAATGCATGTTCACAGAGTCTCATATACAAGTAAATTAGAAATTTAAACTGTCACAAGCAATAGAAGAATAGTTAAAAGTATGACACACCCATAAGGGAATTTATGTGACTATGTAGAGGAATAATGTAATCTGTATTTATGAACACTCAAATATGCCCATAATTCAATGTTGCAGAATTTATTTACTGCTTTCTAAATTTTTTTATCATGTGTGTATTAAGAAAGAAAATCAATATAGCCACTTTCATTTTTTTAGAATAACAAAAAATATCTTACTAAAACATAAAATTTACAGAAGTTTCCAAACAAGCCATACAAAATGGTCACAAGCTTTTGTTGAAGTGGGGAATCTACACTTGACAGCAAAGTCACAATGTTATTAGCGAGGGCTGTGATGTTTGTTGACGTTCCCATTTTGGTTCAAACAATCAGCTTGTCCATCTGTAGCATTTAAACAGTTAGAATTGGCTAGAGAGCATATTCTAGAGAACTGGTTAGCTGCTTTTTAACCAATGCAATTAGATCGCCATAAAAGGGGGGAAAGGTGCCCATAAAATTTTGAAACATCTTTTCCCCTCAAAAAAATAGAGAACACCCAAACTCTTGCAGCTAACCCTGACAACTACCTTCATCCACAGTGCTTTATACTGAAGCCATGATGGGGGAACATTTTTTCAGATTTTTTAGATTTTTTTTTTCCTATATGGTAGAAGAACTGGTTTAATTACACTGATAATAACTAACTAACAAGAAGAGCCAGGGACTGGAGGTACAGCTCAATGGTAGAGCATTTATCTGGCCCTGGGCTGGATTCCCAGCACTAAGGGAGAAAGGATAAAGGGGGGGAAAAAAAAAAAAGATATGTTTCTGCTCTAAAAAATAAGGCAAGGGGAGGTACTTATTTATCAGCACAGCATATTCAACAGCTTAACTCTAAGGAAAATGCACTTCAAGTCAGTTAGAAGGAAGTATTCGTGCGGAGGGTCAATCTGTGATGGAAAAAGCACTTTGAATTATTTTTAATGTTGAACTCTCGCTGGTGTTGAAATCACTTTTCAAGCAATTCTTCTGAATTTCCAACACATGTAGGCAACATAGGTATTCATAGCTTCGTATGTTTTCAGCAGAAATTATTTTACAGTAAAATTTTATTTGAAGCCAGTGCCATGATGCACACCTGTAATGCCAACATTCAGGGAGGCTGAGACAGGAGGGTCACAAGATGGAGCCCAGTCAGGGCAACTCAGTGATTTTGCAAGACCAAAATAAAAATAAAGGGTGAGAGATTGGGATGTAGCTCCCGGTAAAGGCGCAGGTTTGAATCCCCAATACTAAAACAAACAAACTAACTAAATACTAGTTTAGAAAATAACTTCAGATCAGCTCTATATCATCCAAATTACATGGAAGTTTATTATATTATTATTTTGCAGGGGGGGGTGGTTGAGACAGTGTCTCACTATTTAGTTGAGACTGACCTGGAACTCGCTATGTAGCCCAGGCCGGTCTCAAACTCACAGTGATCCTCCTGCCTCAGCCTCCTGAGTGCTGGGATTACAGGCGTGTGCCACCACACCTGGCTCAGTTTATTATATTATTATACTGTTAGCTTTAATCAAAAGAATAAATTGTTTTTGCAAAGTAAATCCTTATTCAAACTATCTAATCCAATGTACTTTTATTATGATTAGGCCCAGTACATTCTTCTGATAAGTTTTCCTGGCGGCTTGGTATCTTTTTATTTTTCCCTCTCTCATTGAGTTTATTGGTACATTTTAGGAATACAGTACAGTTACATTCATCATTGGGATCTTGTACCTTTACATGACAGGTCTTGGTTCTCATTTTTTCCCCTTGTCCCTGCCCTTTTACCCCTCCTCCCTCCCCCTTTACAAACACTTCATTTCCATTTTTTCATATTTTTTCCTTTTCCCTTATTACCTTTCCCCTACCCTTCCCACTTTTCCTACACCTTTATCCCTTTTCTTCCTATTTCACATTGTCAACTATCGCATTAGGATCTTATGTACTATTATAGTTTATTCACACCAGAGAAACTATTCAGTATTTACACGTGTGACTTATTTATTTCACTTAGGAGTATATCCTCAATATGTATCCATTTTCCTATGGATGAATCTAATTTCTCATTCTTTATGGCTGAGTAGTATTCCATTTTATAGAAAAACCACATCTTCTTTATCCAGTCTCCAACTTAAGGGCAAATGGGCTGTTTCAAGTTTTAGCTATTACAAACTGTGCTGCTATAAACATAGGGCTTGGTATCTTTTTAGGAAGGTCCAAGAAAAGGATGCAAAAGAGGACATAGCACCTACTGTAACTTAATCCACAATGTCCTATGACTCTTTACTTTCTCCAGCCTACCCTTTTTTCTCCATTTCAGATGGCTTTAGAGAAGAATAAAATATGAATGAGAAGGAGCAATGACTCCTTCTCCCCCTCCTCCCCAAGTTTCATCCGGACTGAGGCCCAGGAAACTGCACCTCTGCTGGGGTTTGGCTCGACCCCTGCTGTGTCTCGGCTGTGTCACCCTGTGGATATGCGCTCTGGCCTGGGAGTCCTGACCGAGGCCACGGCACCTCTGTTCCCTCCCCCTGCACAGTGCAGGCACCAGGAGCCCACCCCAGCGCCACGCACCACTCCCACTGTCTTCCTCCATTTTCCTGCTTCCCAGACCCAGCGAATAATATTGTTATTATAAATTCGCTGCATGTTTTTAAGTATGAACTTTTTATTCTCAATCCCAAGATGTTTGCACAGAATCCAGATACGCCAGCCGTGAAGAGGCTGTGGATGGAGGAAACCAGCTGCTAACACGAGGTGGGGATTCCTTACTGCTCAGAACCTCTAGTTGCCAGAACTCTAGTCGATGTCATTCGAAAAAACTGCTCCATTCTTTAAACATTTCTAAGAGAGACAGAGACTATCTAGGATGTCAAATGCCATGGCTTAAGCCTGGGAGAAAAATCTTTATCCCTTATGTCCCATTACTTAGGAAGGAAAAACAGAAGGAGGGACAGTGTTAATCACAGCAAGCCTTGAGCTCACTATCATTAGTGAGACCATATGTAAAAACCCTGGTGTCTACGACCTCCAAATTCCATGATGCAGTGAGTCTGCTTTTAAAGAACTACAACCTATCTGACAGCTCCTCCCTGGCTCACAGGAAGCTTTTCTAGAATATAAGTCTGCAGCTGTCCCTGGCAAACTGGCACCTCACGGAGCTGCTCCGTCTGGGAAGAAAGGGGCGTCTGTTCTCCATCTCACAGTCTTAAAAATTCATGGAAGAAGTGGGATCATAACTGGCATTTATTTTGAGGGTTACAGACATTCAGTAACATACGTCCAGGTCACATGGTGTCCTATATGGTTAGGAATAACAGTTTCCTTTAAATGTATGCTTGAAACCCAGCCCAAAACACATTTCTTCGCAGAACTTGAGACCTTTAAAAAAGTCTTTTCCTCATCATTCCATGACTCCTTGAAGTTTTTTTCCTCCTATCAAAGTACAGTATCAAGTTATATTAACACAAAAAGAATATAGCAAAAACTAGATTTTTTTCAAGAAATGCTGTGCTGCCCTAAAATTAAAGATAGTTGTCCCAGAGCAGCCCTGGCACCGTTTGTCCCTCTCGCCACTCTTCCTTCCTTTGTGTAGTAGAACCCACGTTCCGTTCATCTTCGTGTACCACACTGCCTTGTATAAGTCAGACGATTACTAGCTCATAAAATTCTAGCATCCTCAGAACAGGTCATGACTGTTTAGTTTTTCCAGTAAAAGTCTGAAGAGCTGACATCAAATAGAGTGTGCTTCAGGGAAGGAAAGAGGGCACTGGAAGCATTTTCCAACTTTTTTCTTAGCCACAACTGCCATGGTCTGAACATGTGTCCCTTCTGAAATTCATAGTGAAGCTTTGCCCCATTTTAGTGGCGCCTTCATGGGGAGCGATACGCCCTCACGAATGGATTGGTGTTTTACAAAAGATCGGAAGGTCACCAGTAGGCCTCTTTTGCCTTTCTCCCGTGTGAGAACATAGTATTCATCCCTTCAGCCAGGCGAGGACATGCCAAGAAGCCCTCCCCAGACCCCGAGTCCCAGTGCTTCGATGTAGGACTTCCTAGCCTCCAGAACTGTGAGACGTGAACATTTATCATTTTGTTATAGCAGCACAGACTAAAACAATTTATACTAAGAAACACACAAGGGCCGGGGATTTAGCTCAGTGGTTCCGCCGCCTGCCTGGCAAGCACAAGGACCTGAGTTCGATCCCTATGTACAAAAAAAACAAAACAGAACAAACAAACAGAAACATACAAATGTCCTGTGCATTAGCAATACTCAAATTTTAGTATTACTGAAGGGAGACGGGAGGTTCTTGTTTACCTTCTAACGCTTTGTGGTCCACAGTTTGAAAATACAGATTTAAAGACTTATCTTCTGAAAGCAAAGCAAGTAATAAATTGTAAAAAGAGTATTGAAACAATAGCCACTTACTTGGCTGCTGCAAAAAGAACATTGAGTGGCATCTGTTGAACAAATGGCAGGAAAGGCCTGGGAGGAAAAGAAAACATACATGTGTCAGAGTTTTGCACTGGTGTACGCGAAGCTTTCTTCTAAATTTAATATTTATTCCTTAAAATCAATGAGCTTAAGTATGCTGTATACTAATACTCAGATCTTTATATATACACAAAACCATTGGTGGAAGTTCTTGTTTAAAATGCAAATTCTTGGGCAAGGGATTTAGCTCAGCAGTTTGGTGGCCTGCCTTGCAAGCGCAAGGACCCGAGTTTAATCCCCGGTACCAAAAATAAATAAATAAAAAAATAAATAAAATAAAATGCAAATTCTTGCCAGGCATGGTAGCGCATGCCTGTAATCCCAGCACTTGGGAGGCTGAGGCAGGAGGATCACTGTGAGTTCGAGACCAGTGTGGCTACATAGTGAGCTCCAGGTCAGTCTCAACTACATATGAGACCCTGTCTCAAAAACAAAACAAAAATTAAAAAATAAAATGCAAATTCTTAGGCCTGGTCCAGGAGATTTGGAAGATGCATGGTGGAGACAATGAATCTTCTTGATAAGCACACCAGTACCTTCTCTGCAGATGGCAGACAAGACACACTTTCAGAAACTGCTCTATTATCATTAGTTAATTAATGAATTAATTTGGTACCAGGAATCAGACTCAGGACCTTGTGCTTGCCAGGAAGTTCTGGTGCCACTGAGCTGAATCCCCAGCCCTGATTTTTTTTTTCATTTTCAGTACCAGGGATCGAACTCAGGACCTTGCTCTTTTGAGGCAGGTGTGGTGCCACTGAGCTACATCCTCGACCCAGAGGAACTGCTCTAAAGAGGCTTCTGCTGGCCATTAGTTAGTTCCCAGCAACACCTCAAGTTCCCGGAGACATTTTGAAATTCCCAGTGGTTGAGTTTAAAGCTTCCCCTCAAGAGCTTAGAAATGTAGTACGCTGTAGTTAAGAATTTAACATTTTTCTGAAAAAGTCAGCATCAAAAAATTCCATAAGGTGGTGACTCATAAATAGTAATGTGTATTAGAAAGTTACTTTCTCAAGGAAGCTTATGCAGATGTGGGGTCAAGACTTTTTCTAACCAACGTAAAACTCATAGGAAAACTTTAACTTGATTTGGATATAAGATTGCCAGATGCATATTAGTCACAAATGAAATAAAGTGAATCTTTTGATGTGTTGGCTTTGGCAACATTCATACAAAGCAACCAAATATTGCCCATCTGAACAGTTTTTAACAATCTTCCCTGCTCTGTGTTTTTGTGACATCTTTTCTATGTGTCACCTCATTTGAGGGCCTTATTTTGTTGTCAGATATACATTCTTAGCTGTAATCAGTACTTCTAAAGTTAAGGCATGCTCAGTTGGAATCCTAGCTCTGCCACTTGCTAACTTACATGATTCTAAGCAATCTACTTTCCTTCCCAATTTCAGCTTCACTATTGGTAAAATAGGGAAAATATATATCCTCTAGAACATTTCTGTTGTATAGAGTAGACCACACATAAGTAAAGCACTTAAAATGGTGCCTGGGATACGGCATGCATTTCAAAATTATAGCTGTTATTGCTATTGCAGTTTTTTTTCCAAACAATATCAGCGCTCACATGCTCTCTAGTCATTACTGTCTACCTGTCAAAGTATTTATAGCGATTCTTTCCAGTGATTTCAGGGTCTTCATCAATTTTTTTAGGCATCTGAAAAGAAGTGTCAGTTCTAAAACAAAGCAGGAAAACATTATTAAAGCCTATTATTTCACATATAGTTTGTACTTAATATTTCTATGGGTGCGTAGGAGGAGACACATGGAGCACATCATATTAACAACAAAGTCTCCTACAGTCTCTGTCAGCTGGCCCACATCTTGGACAAGCTGAGATTACTTCCTGCAGGTCAAGCCATCAGGGCCCACCGCAGTAAGGGAAAAAGGGAAGGGAGGCGTGAGTAGATTTAGGAAACCCCACATACAAAAATGCCTACTTTTAACTGAAAGCACACGAGAATAGCAAAGTTTCAAAAGATAGTTTTTATGTCCAGGCTGGAAGATGTTATTATTTGTTAATATACTAAATAGGAAGTCATATGTAATTAAAAACAAAGGTTTCAAAAGACTTACTTTTGAAGGTGCTCTGGCTGTAAGCATTCAAAAAGTATTTTAGACACTAATAGAAAGGAGCAATTGTGATTTCTAAGGTGGATCAAAGAATAAAAAACTCAGTCACCCCTAGCATGGGTGGCAAATAACAACAAATGCCAGCATCTAAGGAGGTCTGGGGAAGGAGGAAGGGGGAGTAAAAATGATCGAGATGCAACACATTATGTTCCAATTCTCCAGGGTGAGTGTAATCATTATATATCACAAGCACACACTGATAAAAATAGTGTTTCTATTTACAAATTCAGGCACTGATATCTAGATAGGTAGAGAGATAGATGTATATAAATAGTAAATAGATCGATGGATAGATTACATTAACCTTTTGAGAACTTCTACCAACCAATAAATGTATAACCTTTGCTCCTTAATGAGGTTTGCTATTTAAAAAAAAAAGTGATGTAGACAGTGTTTGGCCCTGGTATAGCATTACAACTGTACATTTTCAAATCATTCAGAGTAAATAAATATAATATTTTAAAAATAAAAACACATTCATCAAAGACAAGACAGAAGTATTTTTAGGAGCTGGATCATCTGACACTTACGGGGCAAGCTGCCAGGGGGCTTTTTCCTGTCTCTCTGCATGTCCTTTCCATGTTCGGCTGATGAAGGTGGGGACTGGATCTGACTTGCTCCAGCACAGAGAATATCTTGGATAATGTACCAGGTTACTGAACATGGTTCTAAACCTGGGAACTTTCCTCTAAAGTTAGGAAAGGGAGGCAGGGAGGAAAAGGACGAAATTATATCATCAGACTTTCAAAAGCATTTAAACTATATTGCAAATCTTTTTCTTAAAAAGGCATGCAAGTGTACAGCAGAGAAGGGGGAATTATTGTCATATGGATAGAAAATCTCTAAAAGTATGCCAGAGAAACTGGTGACAATAACTTTTGGCGGGGGGTTGAGACAGGGTCTCACTATGTAGTTCAGACTGCTCTGGAACTCACTGTGTAGCCCAGGCCGGTCTCGGCCTCGAAGCGATCCTCCTGCGTCAGCCTCCCAAGTGCTGGGATTACAGGCTTGCACCACCACGCCTGGCAACAATAGCTATTTATGTGGCAGGGACTGTGGCTAAAATTATTTCATACTAATTATGCTTTCTTTCACATTACTTGAATGCTCTCAACAAAGGCATATATCATTTCCATTGAAATGAATTAGTTTGTGGGTCTTTTATTCACTATTAGTTAATTAACCCTCACAATTGGCCCCAAGATGCCTCTCCCCAGTAATCATAGCAAAGTTATTCCTGTGGAACCTGAAATCCAGCGGAGAGATACCGAGCAGCTGATCTGATTAATGCAGCTAGCTGTACTAGATAGTCCCAAGCCACTAGGATACCTTGGTAGACGATTAGACATACCAGTCTGCTTCGAGCCAGGGTGGCTTGTATATGTGCCTGTGTGTGGTCTTTCTCACTTGACACAATAAACAGCGGATCTGTAAAACAAACAATCAAGTACCATAAGGAGTAGGGCATATCTACCCTGAGGATAAGAATAATGGCAAAAACCATGTCATTTCTTAACTGGAAACCAAATCAGAAAGTTCAGGTACTATCTACTCTTCAGAAGCTGGTGGCCTTGTTGCTCTACCCTATGTATCAGTGAAAGCCTGCTAGATGAGTTTCTTTCTTGCAAATTCAAAGTCAGCTTATGGACTGGAATGCAAGCAGAAAGCCTAGCATGTTTTCAAACACAATACCTTAAATATGCTTTCTTCTTCCATAACAAAAGCTTTTCTCTGAGCTGGGTAGCTTCAAGAGGAAAGACCAGGTATATATGCGTCATGTCTGTTTGCAAGTGAAAGAAGCAATAAATTGAGGCACAATATTTCCCATATTTAGTGTACCGGGAAGATGCAAAAGGCTTGCTTTTGGGGAGGGGCATGGTAAGAAAATGTCATTCTGTAATAAGAAATAAATAATACCAACTATCTTCAGAATTCAGCTTTTAAGTTTTTTAAGTACTATATGTTGGTGATGGCCCTAAGTTCTCTCTCTGAAGGTCAACAGAAGAGTAACATACAGTAACATGTATCTGCATAATAAATGTATCCATAGTGATGAATAGTGTAACCATTAAAATCAATTTAACACTAAAGTCACAGGCAGTCAACTTATTTCTGGGGAAACAAATATCCTGACCAGCTAGTCTAGACAACTTGGTGACTTGTACTTCTCTATAGAAAGTGACAAACTGTCATTTGGATAATGTGAGTCAATTCCTAAAGCCTTGGTTATCTGACAAAAACAACTTATTGGATATAGTAATTTGATATACCCACCAAGGTTGAAAAGCTGCAAGTGGCTCAGGCTTTTCTTTCTTTCTTTTTCTTCTTTTTTTTTTTTTTTTTTCACTCAACAAATATTTATTGACTAGCTACTGTGTTCTAGGTGCTTGGGATATATACAGCAACAAAAAGATTTAAAAGAACCAACCCTGTCTTCATGGGACAGACAACAAGTAACAAATTAGAAATTGTATAATATGTTAGAGGGTGTATTTTAAAAAGAGGAGATAAAGGAAACTGGGTTGCAGTTTTAAATATTTGGGAGGCCACAATGAGGAAGGGACAGATAAGGAGACTTAAGGTGAAGGAGTTAGCTATAGGAATAACTGGAGGAAAAAGAACAGAATAAATGAAGCAGAGTAAGTATGAAAAGAAGATAAAAGATAAAAGGCCAGGAACCTAGACCACAGAGAGCTTTGCTGGGAAGGGTAAAAGAACTTCGAAAGGTGTTCATATTTATACCACTGACCCCTTAAACCCACCCAACCACAGTTCTGTCAGCTGAAACCCTGACCCGTGCTTATTTCTCACTTAAATTTTCAGCTAAGATCCATGAAGACTCCCTTCTGTACAGTCGGTGGTAATCTTGTGTTAAGAATCCCCTCCAACTCCTGAACTAGAAAGAGAAATCCATGCACATGTAGCTTTTTGTCAGACAGAAAGGAAACAAATGCACAGAAAGAAAACTAGAGCTGCCAGGTAAAAAATGTAGGATGCCTAGCTAAATATGAATTTCAAATAAGCAATTAACAATTCTTTAATGTAGGTATGTCCTAAATATTTCTTGGGGTGAAAATTTTTTACTAAAATTTTTATTTGTTCTTTATCTTAAGTTCCAATTTAACTGTGCACCCTTCATTTTTATTTGTTAAATCTGGCAGCCCTAACAGGTCAAAAGCACACACAGTCAAAAAAAAGAAAGCGTCGTAGCACCTTCCCTGTCAGAATTTTGCTTCTTGTTCATCAATAACTGCGAGACTGGCTCGTTTTACTGGAACAACCTAAACTTTCCTTCGGCCTATGCTAGGTAGATTTGTGTTCTTTCCAGGGGACATGAAAACATGCAGCAATCCTTTGGCAAAAAAGACACTCCCGGATAAAAGAAACAACAGGCATAGTAAATTATTTACTTGTCATACTGAAGATGTTTATGTTCATTCTCAAATAACATTTGAAAACAACCTGGTGATATGCTTACAGGAGTTTATGAGGCTTATTTCACAAGACGAAACCAAGAGCGAATAATGAAAACCAGTAGCCACCAATATGGAAGCAGCCATTATATGGTCCCTATGCAGAAAAGGGGCACTCACAGATTCCAATCCAGAGGAGATGCTGGGACTCTTCAGAGCTGAAAGTAGTGCATTACTCAGGTAGGAGCCAGAGGTTACAGAGGGCAGATATGGAAAAAATCATGCTCACCTGGTTGCAATTATTATAACAGTAAATTGAGTAAGTTAGCTAAGATTTACCGAGGACCTAGTATATGTGCCAGCAGTACAGCAGTCCAAGAAGCCTACGAAAATGCATAGAACAGACATTTAAGGTTCAGAAGAGAGAGAATACACATTGAAAATCCGGGCACTTAAAAACCGAGACCTTACTAGCCCTAAGGAACCAGCATGCCTAGTTTCTGAACAAAGTTTTGATAAATGAGAAAAAGTTAAAAAAAAAAAAACACAAAAAAAAACCACTCACTGAAAACAAACCTGAGATAAACTGGCACTTCTTCACCCAGAATGCTAAATTTGGAGTTGCCCAGAGAATATAAGCAGAAATTTTATGCATTTCATGCAGTTTGAACATGGAAACGCTAACGTGAATCTCCAAGTCCGTGACTCATTCCACACCCCTCCGGGCATTAAAACACCTGGACAGGCTTGAGGAAGACCGCTCCGGGCTGAGCAAGTTCCGAGGGAAGGCGCCCAGGTGAGGGGGCCCGGGCTCCAGGACGCCAGGCGCACCCGG